GTGGAGGTTCACTGAGGTTTTGGGGTTGCTTTGCTACTTCAAGCACTGGGTGTCTTGACTGTGTGTATGGCTTTATGAAATCTGAAGACTACCAGTGAATTCTAGGGCACAGTGTAGGGCCAGGTGTCAGAAAGCTGGGTCTCCATCAGAGGTTGTGGCTCTTACAGCAGGACAATGACCCAAAGCAGACTTCACACAGCACCAGAAATGGTTTCAGACAATGAACTGGAGAGTTCTGAACTGGCCAGCAATGAGTCCAGGTCTAAATCCCACAGAGCAGCTGTGGAGAGATCTCAGAACAGCAGCTGGGAGAAGGAACCCTTCGAATCTGAGAGACATGGAGCAGCTGGCAAAAGAAGAGTGGTCCAGAATTCCAGTAGAGAGGAGGAAGAAACTCACTGATGGTTACAGGAAGTGACTGATTTCAGTTATTTTGTCTGTGCTACCAAATATTAAGTTGAGGGCATCAGTAAGTCTGTCCAGTCCATTATTGGAGCTCTTTCTTTGTGGAATGAATCAGATTTGGCTTTTTCCCAGTTTTTTGTGTGGATCCAATACAAGCAAAGGGATAAACAGGAGAAGACCAAAGAACTTGTGATTGCAACAATTTTCTGGGAGAAGTGATGCGTAATCTGACAGAAATTCAGGGGTATTGATATTTTTGGTCATGATTGTATGTGGTGCTAGCAAGCTTACCAGACTGTAGTCATCACAGAAACACAGTTACCGCAACAAGCACAATGGGCCTCTGTCCTCATGGAAACAGCTATAAACATGCAGTTATGCAATCATAGAAACATCATGATTTCATTTAGCAACACAGACATCTTGTTAGGTTTAGGAACAAAAACTACTTGGTCAGGTTTAGGAAAATAAACCTTCCTCATCATGATTACAATAATAAACACATAGTTAAGGTTAGATTATAACTGTAACACTTCACACATAATTACAACTAGAGATCACCTAAACTGTTGGCTGTCATAACCTGCTGGTCCACACAACATACAGTTTTTACAGGAGAACAGTCTCTTTGTGTCTTTGGTCTGGGAATTTGAAGTTGCCAGCTATGGATCTAGGAGATTTTGATTGTTATATTTGATTCATTTTCATAGACTAAACAACTTCAGAATCAAAAGAACAAGCTAATGAATCCATCAGTAAATAATCATTAGAGCCTCAGCTTATTTGGAAAAACATCAACTATAGTTGCCACAAAAACTGTGCTTACACAAATGCTTTTACTGCAGGGCCCTTTGAGCTGTTATCAATGAACCATCCCCACAGAGAAAAGACAAACTGACAAGCTTTGATGTGAAATTCATGCAATATGACATTTGATGGAGCAATCCCAATAAACCATATTAGTTGAATGATATAATCAGTGTTGAATTGCATATTGATCATCAGATCTACAATGAGCAAGATGTGTCTACTGAAGCAGAAAAAGATGATAGTAAAATCTATTGTCCTATAAGTATTATTGTACTATAAGCCCACCCACCCTTCTTATGTTACACACACACACACACACACACACACACACACACACACACACACACACACACACACATTCTCCCCTCTAGTAATGCATCCATTTCCTCTCCCCCATTGCTCTCCTCTTAGTTGGGGTGTGTCCATCCATCTCAGTGTCTGGCTAGGCTCTTGGCAAGTAGTGGGGGCTTCTCATCGCACTCAGCAGCGGAGCTGTCCAGCCAGCACTCTCCCTCATTACTCCCATGCTTCTTCTTCCTGAAAATGCACTTTTAAAGCACCTTAATTGCATTGGGGAGATAATCCCGTGGGCACGAGACAGGAAGCCTTAGCCATATAGAGCTCT